ATCAACGTTAATTCTGTTTAATTTCGGTGTATTTTAAGTTTAGAAATTTATTTAAATATGTTTTTGTTTTTATTAGCCATGACATTTTATGCGCGATTAAATCTTAATTTTCCAAGACATTTCTATCTTAAAATCCCTCTAGACTGTTATTTTTTATGATCTAAAAACAGTTAGACATCTGCTCTTAAACATTTATTTAAACCAGACAGGATCAGATTTTAAACCAGATGCTGCATGGATCTAGGCCATAAACTACTTGCTTGATGCTTGGAAAAATCTGTAGCTCTGAAACTCTGAAATTCCTTAAGATCTTATGATCCCATTGGCACTACATTAAACCAAACGAATCTGGCTGCACATTCAGGATGTTAAATTCCTGTCATAAACACATCGAAATTCCTGTAATTAAACTGTAAAAGTTCGAGCTGCTGCTGCTGCTGCAAGACGAAAGATCTATTTAATTTCCCCACGTTGTTGCATCCGTCTCATTTAGAGGCACATCATTCAAGCCGGCAAGCAGGCAACCTCTTTATGTGGCACTTGTCGTTTGAGTGAGTGAATGAATGTCGAGTGAACAGACTGAGCTGACTAGCTGACTTAACTGACTAGCTGGCAGACCAGACGGACAGACAGATTCAGTGTCGAATGTGAATGCTAGCTTTAAGCACACATTATGCATGCATTTTGCAGTTGCCGTAAGTCTTTTATGGTCGACATCATTCAAGTGCAATTGTTTGCTCTAGAAATAATGCTCACTGTGCCTTCTCCCCCGGTTCTCGAGTGAACGAGTGACCCACTTTAAGCCATAAATTAGCACAAGCAACAACAACCGACGGCAACAACCAGCCACGTTTATGCCACTTGATGTGGCATGTTTTTCCTACTCCTAGAATCTAGTTAGACTTCCACGCACCAACAATTTATTTCCAGTCTTGCTTTTCTTTATAGATCATTGTCAAATGTGTGCTGCGGCTTTAGCTTTCAGTTTCTCCACGAATTGGGTCAGAATACAACCAACCAACACAACGTTGCCTGAAGGCAGCTAACTAGGCAAAAGTAGAGCTAAAAACGCAGTCATTAAAATATCATTAACTATTGTCCAATATTAAGTTATTTCATAGCATTAATTGAGTCTCTTGATTGAAATGTCTTGCCTCCTCCCCCCTATGGACATCGGATCCAACTGTTGGACACTGTTGAATGTTGTTTAATTGATTTGGAGAAAGTGAGGGTCTCTCTTGCTCTTCGTAGCAAAATGTACCACAAAAACGTAGCTTCGAGGCTGGGAAAATGTCTTCATTGGCATGGAGGTTTGCTTTTGTGCCCCCAAAAGTGTAATCGGGCAATCGAGCAATCGAGAAAATTGAATATGCACAGCAGCTGCCACAGAAACAAATCTTGTTTTTGTTTTTGGATAATTTGTTTGTTTTTTTTTTGTTTTTTTGTTTTTTTGTTTTCAGGCAGCGATAATCTTCAGGCAGTGTTTTATGTAATTTTTGTGGCATAACTCTTATGAGAGATGAAAATACACGTATTTCCAAACAACTTTTGTTGTTTGCTTCATACATTTGTTGCTGATTTTGTTGGTTGGCTTGTTACTTTCTACAGCAAAAACAGCTACACTAGATCTAGAGATTTGGAAAATTGTGAGGATAGACAAATTCGATGCTAAAATTTCACATAAGTGAATGGACAAGATTCCTCTCTGTGGAACGCATTTTAGTCCTTAAAGGAACTAATTTCGGGTTAGCTCTGATCATCTACCATTTCTTCGATTATAAAACGAAACCCAAATTTTTAGTTTCAAACCAAATACGAATGAAGTTTCGCTTGAAATTTACAAAAATAAACTAAGGCTGCTGAGCTATTGAGTAAATATAACGAACTAAAGGGCTCTGGCATTCTGGTAGATGGTCTACCGATGCAGGGAGGACGTGGTGGAAGAATTTCTCGGCCCAGACCCGGGGTAAACAGGCCAAAATTCGAGGTTTCATTACCGGAAACATTTCAAATAAATATAGGTTCATCATCAGATGCAGGCAGAATCGAGCTGTTCAATTTTCAGATGGCTATTTTTACGCTACTTTTCGTTGTCGTGATAGAGGTCTGGCAAACTTTATTTCCCACAATGGAAATGTTTACAACAATTAGTATGAAATAAATATAATCATAAAAAAAACTTCTTAACATTTTCTTAGTTATTTTTATCGCCCGTAAAAATTAATAAAATACATAAAAATCACATAACTTTATTCTCTAGAGATGTCCCACCGCCAAAAGAACAATAGAAAAGCTGTGGAAATGCGTTGAAAGAATAACATGGGAATGGGGGGGAAAGAACAGAAATTCTGATTTGTTTATTATCGCACACTCATTAACTCATTCTTTGATTCATGTATTCATTCATGTGCTGGGTAACCTAACGGATTACAACAGAACAGCCATTTCTATGGATATATCTTTTGTTTTACACCCCACCCCTCAGGTCGTTGCCACTTCATAATTATAGGATATGTGGAAGGTATATTGGGTTTCAAGAGACGTGCATTGCTGACAGAAGTTATTGGATTTATAACATATAAAAAGAGACAATCAATTCATGATCAGTGATGTTAAGACTTTGGTGAGTGTAATAACTTGCATTGTTCTTGCAGTCTGAATAGAGTTTCAAATATTCTGAATTGTAGCATTTTTAAAAAAGAATATTTTCCACCTGTACACCAGAAGTACTCATAATCGGATTTTAATTACAGTGTGAAATACTGTAAGCAAGTTCTGGTAATAATGTTTACTTAAGATCCTTAAATTTTAATCATGCATTTCCCATATATAATTCAATTTAATTCACTTTTTATGTACGTACTTCCAATGACAGCAAACCCTCTAATGGGTATCGCCTAGTCGCATGGCAACATCTCGAGGGACAATCTCTGGTTGTATTATTTTTGTTGTCTATATATTTTTCCCTGGCAGGTCGTTGCCGTTTGTTTAAATCCAATTTTATATGCACACTTAATGATTATCTTTTTGTGTTGCTGTCATTTATTTTCTCTGCTCTTCTCCTTCTTTTTTTTGTTGATTTTTTGATTGTTTCTTGTTTTGTGTCTGTCGTTTGTTTATGTGGCTGCATTTTGAAACCGTTAGCGTTAACATTTTCTTTAATAGTTTTGTTGCGCTTTGGGGAGCTGCCTGATGCTCCCGCCTGCCTGCCTGCTGATGCTGCATTTGATGAACGGCCCCCAGAGCATGGTCTCTCTTTCGCTCTCTTCCCATAGCCAGCGGGGCTGGCGGTGGGGTACTTCGCTCCTATGAGAGTTGAAAAACACGTTTATCCGTGTCGCTCTATGATTTTTGTTGCCTGGCAAAAGTTGGTGTCTCGTCGTCTGTCGCGTCTGCCACATCCCGTGGACCACTGTCTCTTGTCTCTCGCTCTCGCTCTCTCTCGCTCTCGCTCTCTGTTTCTGTTTAGCCCACTCCTCTGTTTACCCCACTCTCTATTTGCCCCTTGTCTATCCACTACATCCAGGCCCGTCTGTCTGTTTAATTTATGAAAGTTTAAATGCTCCAAAGCCTGGCGGCGATTGCATTTCGTGTCGCCTGTAAATCAGAACTACCGCTAGGCATACCCCATACAACACCAACAACCCCAGATGATGATCATCAAAAACAACTAGAAAGGAAAAACTAATTTCCTTTGAGTGTCAGAAAATGCTGGATACCCTGGCACGAAGTTTCTTTGCTTTCTCATATAAATTTGGATTTTTTGTACAGGTTTTTCTAGGGTTTTCTATAGGTAATTATGAAATAGTTAGGTTGATATACTTCCCATACTCCTAAAAGCAGCAAGAATACATTTTTTAAAGCGTTGTTTGAATACTTGTAAATTGAAAACAACAATTTCCATAGAACCAGGTCCAATATGGGCTCTACTCACTCCCATGTGGAACTCTATTCAAAATACACCAATTATTCTGATTCTCTTAACCATTATACTCACCAGAAACCAAAGCAAGAGTCATCCAAAGATTCACATCCTCCTGCGTGCATTAATTTCGCATTCGATAACCATTTCCCAACCCCCCAACTGGTTTGGACTTAATAAATATTTATTGTATATACTTATAGCTAGAGATACGCGACAAAGCGATACTCGACATTCGAGTGCTTAGTTACATGTGCCACAGCCATATATCCATGCCACAAAGGATGTCTGAGCCACTGACCTTATTCTTGCATGTGGCACAGAGCAGCACAGAGAAAGAAAGGGAGGGAGAGACAGAGTGGGAAACTGTAGTGAGTGGGGATTACAGGAAGAGAGAGTGTGGCAGCCAAGCCCCTCTCTCTCTTGCAGCCAAAGAAAAAGTAGAACGTATATTAGGAGAGGGCAGGCAGGCAGGTAGCGGGGCTTGGGGCTTTGGGGGGATGGGTTCTGGGTTAATTGATAAAAGAAACAGAAACAGATCGTTCGTGCCATTAGAAAGTAAACGCGGTTTTCGGAGGTCTACCGAAAACAAAACGATGCTTTAAACGAGCATTGAATGCTTAAACGATGCCTCGGAGGAGGGTAAACGTCTGTACCTGCCATACAAATGCCTTTAATTTGGGGTTTTACTGTGTGGCTTTACTGTGGGAATTGGCTGGAAGTAGTTTGTGTGCGAGCTGTGAGGTTTTTGCTTACATTTTCTAAGACTTTTAAGCACTTCTGTTGGCTTTGTGTTGCTTAGAACCGTGTAATTTTGCGGCAATTGCCATGTACAGGGTCAGATACTTTTTAAACGCACTGCAGAGTACACACTGTAAACTGCACACTGAACTGCATTTATGCAAATGAAAATGAAAGGCAACCTGAGAAGCAGAATAATAATTGAAAACTCCCGCCATTGTTGTTTGCTTATTGCTGGGAGTACAAGTGGCGAAATCGACGACTTTTGAAGGTCTACAAAAGTGTACAAATAACTGTCAAATATCACTAAAATCTGCATTATTTGTTGCTCTTTCAGATGTTGCAACTGCTGCCTGCGTAGAGTACCAAAAGTGACTGTAAAATGTCCGAGAAGGTGAGCACTTCCTTGGCCTCACAATTGCATTCCCATGCACTGGCCACAACCGATGGAAGTGGCGCTGTGGCTGCCTGCCACCATGCCACCACCACCACAAAGGAGGCCCATGCACCGCTGCAATTCGAAATGGATGCCCCAGCGGCGGCAATTAGCGCACAGTTAAATTTCAAAATAATGCCAGCGGATAGTCTGCCCGGTTTGAGCTACCAGGAAATATTTGCTTCCATGAACACATCACAAATCAGCAATGCCTCAACAGAGGCATCCTCCAGCTGCAGTCCACCGCTGGGACTCGGACTGGGACTGGGACTGGGCTTGGGCGTGCCCATGGGGCCACCGCCACCAAAGCCCAGTCGTCAGCATATGGCTGTGCAACCGTTGACAACATCTGTAAGTCTACACCTGAGTTTTCCATCAGAAATCAACTTGATTTTGTTTTTTGTGTGTTTTCCCAGAAATCCTGTCGCTTTCCCAAGCTGGAGGAGTGCGCACATTTTCATTACGAACGCGTGCAACTGGGACCCCTGTCGGTGCAACTGTTGGATGATAAATCCGAGCATATGAGCAGCAGTATAGCCTCCCAATCGATTGGCGGTGATCTGCCGCACAGTTCGCTGAGGAGCTTCTCGCCCGAGAGCTGTTGGTTCATCATACGCGTGTGTCCGCAGCGCTGTGAGCCCTTTCTGATCAAAAGATCCTTCGAGAATATGCAACTGCTCGACGAAATGCTGCATCGTTGTGTCTACGATCGCAAGATCAGTGGGCTGAGGAACATGGCCGAGCTGGCCGAGGAGCTGCCGAGTGAAACGGATGTGGAGTATGCGGTGGGCAAGTACTTGGAGCGCTTCTCGAAGATCGCCTCCGATTCGCTTACCTGCGGCACCATTCTAACCTGGCTGCAGCTGGACAACAAGGGTCGACGCCTGCCCCTGGCCGACGGGGAGACGCAGCGAACAATCAACACACCGGCGGTGGGTGCAGCCTATGGCGTGCGGCGCTACCAGGCGCAGGCCCCGGACGAAATAAACATCGAGGTGGGCGATATGATATCGGTGATCGATATGCCCAGTCCCGCTGAATCGATCTGGTGGCGTGGCAAGAAGTCACATCTGCAAAAGTCCCTCTACGAGGTGGGTTTCTTTCCGCAGTCGTGTGTGGCCACCATTGGGGATAAGGTGCCGAGGAATTTCCCCATGCCAGCGCCACTGGTGGGCCATCTGGATGCCTCACCCACCAAGCCCGTGCTGCGGAAACATGGCAAGCTGATAGCCTTCTTTCGATCGTTTATACTATCGCGTCCATCGCGGCGACGCCTCAAACAGAGCGGCATTTACCGCGAACGCGTCTTCAATTGCGATTTGTCGGAACATTTGCTGAACAGCGGCCAGGATATACCCATGGTGCTGCGTTCCTGTGCGGAATTCATAGAGAATTATGGCGTCATCGATGGCATCTATCGACTGTCGGGCATTACCTCGAACATACAGCGTTTGCGACGCGCATTCGACGAGGAACGCGTGCCAGATCTGGGCAACCCAGAGATGAAGCAGGACATACATGCCGTCAGTTCGCTGCTGAAAATGTACTTCCGTGAGCTGCCCAATCCCTTGTGCACGTACCAGCTGTATGACAATTTTGTGGAGGCCATTCAAGTGAAGGCTGACGAAGCTGATGAGCGTTTAAGGCTAATGAAGGAGACGGTACTGAAGCTCCCGCCGCCACACTACAGGTGGGAGTCGCAAGAGCAACTTTCAGAAATAATTATCAAATATTAATCCCTCTCTTTTCTCCCGTGTAGAACCCTTAAGTATCTCGCTGAACATTTGTACAAGGTGTCACAGCATCACGAACGCACTGGCATGACGGACAAGAATTTGGCCATTGTTTGGGCGCCCAATTTGCTGCGTTCGCCCGCCCTCGAGTCTGGTGGAGTGGCTGCGCTGCGTGGCGTTGGTGTCCAGGCGGTGGTCACCGAGTACCTGATACGGAATTGCCATAACATATTCGATGCTTTGGAGGATCAGCGTCACAGTGTGATGCCCGTGGCAGTGGCTGTGAATCCTAGCGGTGGTGAGTTGCGCCTGGAGTCCCTCACCGACTGCGAGAGCTTGTTGGTGGAGCAACGAGAACAGGATCAATCTTTAGGCATGGTCGAGCGACCCAAGAGTCTGAGCACGGGCGGAGCAAAGCTCATCAGCCTGGAGGAGGCCCAGGAGCGGCACTCACGCATCGAGGGGGGTGATCTGAAGCATTCCCTGCCCATTAGCATGCTGGCGAGCGGCAGCAACAGCTGCACCACTAACGGTGCTTCCGCTGGGAATGCGGCCACCAATATAGGCTCCTATATAGAGGTGGGCGGAGGTCCCTCGAGTCTCCCAGACAAGTACCACACAGTGCTGTCGGCGCCACGCAGCTGGCAGAAGCGCAAACCGGACAAGACACCCTCCTGGAAGTCGATATTCACGCGCAGTCAGCGTCAGGGCAATGTCGATCCCAGCCACAAGATCATCCACGAAACGGCTGGCGGAAAGTTGGATCCCGTGTCGTCACGCGTCAGCTTTGTGCAGGCCTCGCATGCGCATGCCAGCAAAGAGCTGTCGAAGCACGACAAACCCAAGTCCATAGAACTGCTGGAGACGACACACGAGCGCGAGCCCAAGCCCATGGAGCTGTGCATACGCTCCAATTCCATAGACAGCCTGCGGACGGTGGGTCACTCTCGCAGCGTCTCCCACGACTCGTACTTTGATCTGTTGCAATCGCCACAGCGCGGGCACATGACCACCTGTCCCTCGCGGGAGCTCTCGGAGCTGGGACTCAATTTCGATCGCGAGGAGCCAGAGATGCGCATCTTCTCCGAGAGCGAATCGCTGGTGAGTTCCCCGCGTGTGGGCAAAGAGAATGTGCCCCCGGCCTCGGGCTGTGCCACTCGCAGAATTATGCGCGCCCGTCCCGAGGAGTTTTCCAGTCAGACAAACAGCGTGAATCCGAGTCCCAAGAAGCAGCCGCGTCTCAATCTATTGTCTCCCTCGTCAGCCAAGACTTTGCCTCTTCCATTGCCAGCAACGGTTATGGCGGCGGCTTCAGCTGCAGGCACGCAGCACCATTGTGGCCATGAGCCAGCGGGTGCGGAGAACTGCTGCAAGCGCTACAAGCTGGAGGATCAGCTGTGCGATATACAATTCATTGATTGCGGCACGCCCGAGCATGCGCCGACGGTGCAGCAGCAGTTTGCCAGCGTGGAAGTGCATCCGCCACCAAAGCCCGCCCGTGCGCATGTGCCAGGAGCCACGTCGCCTGCCTCGGCGCGTTATAGCTATCCCTCAGTGCAGTTGGGCGCCAAGCGCAAGGAGCAGCAGGCGGCCAAGGAGAGATTCAGCTATCAGGGCACGTTCATGCAACAAGGCGGCAAGCCAGAGCAGCCACTGCCCCGTGCAGCAGTGCAGTGAGTAAATCAAGCATCAAAAGCGGTTCCTTAATGTTATCTGTAATCTCTTCCAGCGCCAGCAGCAGCAACAACACGGTACCCATGCGCACCAAGCCGCGAGTGGAGCTGCCGCCAGATGTCACCGATTCGCAGGGCAAGCTGTCCGTGGCTACACCCACAACGCCACAACGGAGTCCACGCTACAGCCTGCTGCTGTGCGACACAGAGGAAAGCTCCGAGAACAGTTCGGCTGTGACCACACCGCAATACGACATGGAGCCACTGATGCGCACCTCTGCCATGTCGGGCATTTCGGGGGTGTCCTCGAATATGCAGCAGCAGCTGCTAATGGGAGGCGGCAGCTCGCATGAGAGTCTGGGACAGCATGTAAGTGAATCAAAGAAGACTTATATCGATCCCTAACGTTTCCTCTTTTAGTTTAACAATCTGCAGGAGATGGAACCGCGTGATATGAATGCCCTGAAGCGAGAGTTATCTTTGGATTTGCAACCGCTGCAGCCACGTCTGCCGCAGCCCACAAATCGTGCGGCCACATTGCCAGTGAAGGATCAACTGCAGGCCGCTGCCTCGCCCAACAATTCCAATTTCACGGACAACACTAGTCAGTCGGTCACGCCAAGCGAGTACGGCTACCAGCATTTGCAGCGGCATCTCAGCATGCACTCGCTTCTGGCTACAGAGGAGAGCTCGCCGGTTTACGAGGACTTTGAGCAGACGCCCAGCAATGGGCTGCACAAGCTGGTGGCTGCCACGAGTCCGATTAAGTCAACCATAAGCATCACATACAAGTCTCCGGAGAAGGAGAAGCCCCAGCAGAAGCTGCTGGAGACCAACTTTGATGAGAATATAGTGTACGAGCAGGTGAAGCTCTTTCGCAATTCGGTGACGGAGGTCAATCAGATGATGCTGCGAGAGCAAGAGACGCGGCCACCGTGCCTCAAGCAGATCGAGGAGGAAGAGCACGATGTGTGTGCCAGCAAGGCGGCAGAAATGACGGAACAGCTGCTGCAATTGGAAAAGGAACAGCAGCAGGAGCAACAGCAACAGCAACAGCATCAGCAGCACTTGGAGGAGCAACAGGAACTCCTGCCCGAAGAGGATGAACAGGATGAATCGCAGTTGCTGTACGAAAACATTGAGCTACGAAAACCGAAAACAGTCTACGAGAATCTACGTGGCGAGGAAATGAAACTCAATCTAGAGCCAGACTCAAAATCCATCAGCAACATCAACAGTGATCGAATCGAATTGGATAGCCTCGACAGTTTGCCCGACAACATGGAGCAGGAGCAGGAGCAGGAACACGAACTGCACACAGAACTCCAGCTGGCACCGCTAACACTGTCCGTCTCAGTCAGCAAATCCCCATCGTTCAGTGTCAAAGAGTTGGCCAATAAATTCGAGAGTTCACCCGTCGAACAGCTGCCCAGCTTTGACTTTTCGGTGCGCGGTGGCTCCATGAAGAAGCCAAATGAATTAAGTGTTCCGCTGTCCATGCCCAAGGCCATGCCCGCACCTGTGCCGCTCAAGAAGCTGAACAATGCACAGAAGATTACTCGTTCGCTGGACGAGAATGCGTTTGTGCGTGAGTTTGGGGGCAAACAGCTGCAGGACTTATCGCTGAGCAAGCTGCCTGAGTTGCCAGAGATGAACAACCGCCGCAAGAGCTTCGATTTTACGCGTCCCAAGACATTGAATCCACCCAAACGGCTGCCGGGCATGAGCATCACCGAGGAGATTTGTCAGAAGCGTGGCGGTGTCGTGGAATCCGAACCGATAGCCATCACTCCCACAACAGAGAATCGCATTTCGCTCATACAGAACAATGTTCCCAAAGAGCAGGCAACAACAGCGGCTATTACGCCGTTTCTTCCACCTGTCGGCCGAAAGAGTGTGGTCACTGGCGTGATACTCGATCGCGAACGCATCGAGAAGATCAAAGAGGAGCGACGGCAGCAGTTGACACAAAAATACCATGGCGATACGTTAAAGTCGCGCTCCAAAACGGAACTAAACTCCACGGACGACAGCAATTTCCCCGCCACAGAGTCGTTGCGCATAAAATCCAAGTCACGCGGCGATATGCACTCATTGCAAAAGGATATGGACATGAATCTGAAGCAGCTATCGCGTGTACCAGGCGGTGGCTCTGAGAGCACACTACACACAGTGCCCGGCGATTATGTGGCGCAGGACAGAAATGGACAGCAGCAGCAGCAGGTACAGCTTGGACAACATGGACAGCAGCGTGTGCGTAGCATTTCCGATGAGAAAAATCAAAATTGTGATACCAATAATGGAAGTGGAGGTGGCACAACGCTGCTGAGTGTCAAAACGGCTGCCCAGAAGTATGGCAGCCACAAGGCAACTATTTCAGCTACAGCACCGATAGCATCATCGTCTGGTGTGGTGCGTGGCCCACCGCCACAGCCACTGCCACGAGAGCGCATGCCACAAAGGAATTCGTTGGCAGCCGAGAGCAATGCAAGCGCCAAGTGAGTATCAAAATGGGCTTCAATATATTTTTATTATTAACGTGCTACATTTTTCAATCATTTTGCAGCAACAGAGAAAAGATCTCACCACAATTCTCAATACGCGATGTGACAGCGATGTTTGAATCTCGTTCACAAAACCAGTAGAACTTAAGGCAACAAAAAAACAACAAAACAACAAAAACTACCAACTAAATAACATCGAAATAATGAGACAGACAGCTATACACAACCCTTCTACTATATTTATATAATCACATATATATATAATGGATCCGGCAGCGATTTATCTATATGCTTGCTATATATTTTATTTAGTTTTCTAAAACATGTACGTCTTAAGCATTGAATATTGTCGCTCACTCTCAAATAACTGGCGCCAGCGGCAAACCCCAAAGACACTTTCAGATACCAAACTATATAAATGCCGCCTGGGGAGCGGAGAGATTTGGCTGACAAAAATAATATATACAAAACAATAATGACAACGCCTTGCGCCCTGAAATCTTATGCAAAATTCAATTTTGTTTTGGATAAGGCAGAGCATAAAGAAGGCAGAAAGCGAGAAAGAGTTGAAGTTGAACTAAAAGACCACCCCCCCCTTAATACCCCTCACAAAAGCTGATGCAAATTGTTAATGCATTTTATTCTCGCTCTCGTCCTCCCCAATCTTTTTTGTAGGCGTTACGTTTCAATGAAAAGTTAATTACATTTTGGTTTTTATTTGTATTATTTGTGATTTTTGTTTGTTTCTCAAATGTTTTCATCTCTTAATATATTATTTTCTTGTGACGCGTAAGAGTTTTTCTTCTTTAAGCAACTTTGAGCGAGTTGTAGATAAGTTAATTATTATACGATTAAACGTTTAATTTATATATATACATATATATCTACTATATATTTTTAAAAGATAATAAACTCGATTGCATTGTCAGTTTATGACATGTCTCCTTTTCGATCCATACATTATACACTCTGTAAATACTCTACATTTGGCTTTGCTTTTAACTTAAAAAAAAAGTCGTATGCCACAAAACTAGGGATATATCTACAGTACAAGTTGAAAAGTCTGTTGTGTACGCGACTTGATTGAGTTGTCCGATAGAGGTAAATACTCTACCAATGTAAGTCCTAAAGATGTAGTAACACTAAATAACATACTTACTGGTTGTCTTCATGAAAAACCATTTACTGGTAACAGTTCGCTATGAAATGAAAAGCTTAAAATATTATAGAAATGCTGTACAATAATGTTTGATTTTAATTTTGATAAATTCCAATTTTATTTTTAAACTTGAAATCTTAAGCCTATCTGTTCCGATAATCCTAATAGTACTCGAAAAACATTGTTGAGTAGTGGCACATATAATTTTCTGAGTTCACAAATTTCTGAATAGTTTTTGCTTTGTTTTTAACATTTTCTGAACTATCATTTTTTATAAACTTGAAATCGTAAACCGATCTTTTTTGAGATTCCTAGTTGTACTACCAAAACAGTGTTGCATAAAGGCACACATGTTTGCTGGTGTTCGAAACTTGCTGAATATATTTTAAAATGGACGTAAGAACTCTAAATATATTAAGATGCATTCATTAAAGGTTTTTTTATGTTGTTTTTAAGTTTAAACCTTAAGCTGTATGTGACCCAATCGATATCTACATTGTTGTTGAGCGCGTACACAGCACAGCAATGGATAAGGAACAAGCCCTCAGGCACATCTTTGACCAATCAAAAAAAGTGTTTTTTTAAATCAAACATAAACTCATACGAGAGCTAAAGAGTAAAGAGAGAAACTAACTAAAGGAATTTTAATGTGGGCTAGTGCTTAGATTTGACAACTAGATAAATTTCATATTCACATACATACTCGTAAATTTAAAGGCGGACGGACAAGCAGACAAAAATCAAATCAAATATACTCGTATAAAATTGCATTTTCAATTGACTCCAGAAGCAGCTGCCAAATTTTTTTTTTTATATATTGATCACCTAATTCAAACGAAAAGACCAGGAAAAGAAAACGTAATGGAAATTAACAGAATTGTAATACAATAACTAAATAGAAAGCTTTAAAACATAAGTTAGCATTTGATATATTTTGATAAAAAATAAAAATCAAACAAAACAGAAACTAAAGAATACAAGAAATAATAAAATAGCCCCTAACGACTGAGGATAGGAAGAAGATAGCGGTAAATATTTAAAGAACGCTTTAAGAAAAACGAAAAATTATAAAAAACTATTTATGAAAGGAGCTAAGATCAATCAATCAATCATTTGGATTACATAGGAGATGTATTGTAACAATGAGAAATTATGGATAATGGCATGGAATGACGACACACTTTGCATTAACATATTTTATAATGAAACATTACACACAACACACTAATTTATGGCATATAAATAAAAGGAAACTATAAAAACTACTTGATAATTGTTATATTTCAATTACTTACAGTTGGGAAGGGTCCACTGATATTTAATGGGTTCTATATGATTTGGGTCCTATATTAAGACGGGGTTAATCTGTAAATGTTTCAAAACATATTCCCTTACGCCTAACCTAATGGCTGCAGAGCCTGTTATAAGTTCTGAAATCCCAAAGCTCTTTAAGTAATCAAAAATAATTGAAGCAATCGGTTTCATAATAATTTCCAACTGGCTCTAGCCGCTTTTCGGCCTCTCTCGTCTTCTAAGATCAAATGTTCGGTACTGATTAAGAGCGTGTAAGTTCATCAGGAACTAGCCTGTTGAGTCTGGAAAGCTTCACCAGCCAGAGCCAGGAGAGAAAGATGAGAAAATGGTCGCGAATTTCAAATCGAAAAACGAAAAGATACTGGCGGTAATTATGTAAGAAATGTAAGACAGCGAGGGCTGCATGGAAAGCTTTAAAATACATTCATCAGAAAACAAGGCCAATATACCTACCCTATTTACTCTTCGAGTACCGGTTATAAAAATGTTAAGCTGATTTTTAGAATCAGACGGAGTGCTAGGGGCTTGCTCCACTTACAGTACCGCCGGGATTTTCAGACCAACTTAAATGATCAATTTTCACAGACCCAAAGCAACGTTCTACCATTTTTACTGAGTTTTCCATCCAGTTTAATTCTCCAAAGGAAGGCTCGGCATGTCCCCTATCCTGTCTATTGTGTTATGCCTCTGCGGAGGCGTGTCTTGTAGGCGAATCACAACAATACCAAAGTTACCAATGTCGCGTGAATGTTTGCGTGCCATGATGTAGCTATACAAGGGGGTCTTGTCGGCAAAACGGTGCCCCTAACTACTGTTAACTGCTGTTAATAAATGCGAGTGAAATAGTTATTCGTGATAAGTGTGAGTAAAACGACAATTGAGAGTGGTGGCCCTTAGATCGCATGGGGCTTACAGTTGCCCATTGCAAGAAAGATATTTTAATAATTTTCACTTGAAAAAAAAAATTATTTTTTTGCTTAGGCTCTTAATTCGAAAAATAGATTCTTAGTTTCTTGCTGCAAAAACTGAAAAGTCAATTTTTCTACGCACAACGGTTAATATTTGTGAAAAAATTCGACCGCGCACAACCTTTCACGTCGACAAGCAAGCTCGCATTGAACGCAAGGGGGACGAAACCACCTTGTCTAATTCTATAATGTGCGTGCCGAGCCCTGCTCTAAAGACACCTCATAGATAAATCTAAACATCCTTTCGCATGGACCGAAGATCAACCAATTTTCGGAGAAGTTCCGCAGTGTAGCACAATTTTGACCAGTATAAAGGTGATTAAAATGGCTGGCAAACGAAATATCTGTGTCACCAACTTGGGCCAAGATTGCTTTCGATTTCTGAGAGTTCTGATCTATCCATATCCAATAATAATATTCCGGCATCAGCAGCCCTTGGAGTTCCTTTCCCTGGTCCACGCTTTGCAGTTTCGCCAAATCGGCTCCCATCTCACTGCATTTATCCAAGGCACTTTCCCATGAATCTATCATATGTAATAGTATTACGACTTATTTTTAGGAAAAGTTAAAAATTTGTTTAGGTTTGGTTTCTATTTCTTTCAGCTCCATTGAGCTCGTTGCCAACTTTGGCAGAACTTTCATATTTTTTTCTAATATTCGCGACAGGATCTGTGGTGTCTTTGGAGTCATGGGACTCCAATTTCTGAATCTGTCTTCCAAAATGTTCTAATTTTTCTCCACTAAGGCAAAATGGACTCTTGCTTTGTCCTCATAGGACTCACATTTTGGCATTTGTCTTCTCAGAGTCTCTAACTTTTCATCAATTAGGACGATTTTCGATAGATTACCTGTGAGCTCTTTTGCCTCACAGGACTTTACTCGCTTTTGAAGAATGGCGAGGTACTCAAGGACCGGTTTGAAAGCTCCGTAACAATATCCTCCGAGCTCGTGTTGAGATTCATCCAACTATTGGTGGGATCCGCAATGTCTTAGATTTGTCGCAGTCAATAAAATTATTATTGCACTCACATCACAATGCTGGGACCGAGATTTCCCAAAGGTTATCGCAAATAACGCAAATATAATGATAGAACACCGATGGCTATTACTTCACCGACCTCAATCTAAAAGGCGACTAAATTATGCACATACTCGTGCATATATTAGAAGACTATGCTTTTACTTTTTCTGTGCTCAAAAAAATTCAACTTCGATGACATGAAATGGAGATCAACAGATTAAAATTAATGTGAATATAGAATCCTCAAATTTCAGTTGGCTAATAAGAATCTTTTCAATTAATTCGTTGGAGACAGGGATGTGCCACCCCGTCCCATTAGCCTTAGAAATATATCATAAAACATTCAGGATTTTTGCAGGGTACCAGCTTTTTGGGAGAGATCTGAAGCATAAATTAATTGATTATTTTTTACCCACCCAAAGAAAATGTTCTACTATTTTTATTTAGTTGTGCGCTGGATTAATCCACAAACGAAAGCTCACAGATATAGCAATGAGTCAGATCGCAAGATCTGTCGCTCATTGCATACTCAAAAGTAAGATCGACGCAATGTTCAGAGTTCGCAAGGTTATTGGGTTCGCCTTTATACCAGTGGAAAAAGGTTCCTTTGACACCAGTTGTGGCCGAAATAAATTCTCCTTCCTTGTCTAGATCGTTCAGATCAATCCAATACTTCTGGTGCGGCTTCAGCCTGCTGCGAAGTTCCTTCATCTCATTCTCGTTTTGCAGACTTGCCAATTGGGCTCCCATCTCAAGGCATTTCTTTAAGGCACCGTGCCAGGTTTTTTTATTTTCATGTTCTATGTAATAGTACTTTGAACCTATTTTTTGGAATGGCTCGAAAACTTTATGTTTCAGTTTTGATATTGTTTCCTGCACGGATGCAAGCTGTTGCTCCAATTTTTGAATTTTTGAATTTAATAATTCCTCCTGGATGGCCGTTTGTCTTCCCAAAGTCTTCAATTTTTCATCTATTAGTAAAATTTTCGAAGCAGTGTCAGCAGGCTGATTGGCCTCATAGGCCTCCACACGTTTATGGAGGATTGCAAGGTATTCCAGGACCGGTTTCACAGCTCCGTAACAGTATCCCCCGCATTCGTGTTGAGATTCATCCACCTATTGATGGGATCCGCAATATTCTTATAATTTTGTCAGTCAATTTAATGAATATTGCACTCACATCACAATGCTGGGACAGAGATCTCCCAAAGGTTATCGCAAATAATACAAATATAATGATGGAACACCGCATGGCTAATACCTCACCGAACGCAATCTAAAATGCAACTAAATTATGTACTTAAAAAACGATGCTTTTATTTGTTCTGTTCCCAAAAACTCAACTTAGATTAAACGAAATTGAGATCAAGTAAAAAAATAATTTGAATATAGAAACCGCCAATTTCAGTTGGCTAATAAAAATCATTTCAAAGAAGTCGTTGTCGACAGATCTGTGCCACCCGATGTGCGGCCATATGTCCTTCGTTTCTATTAGCCGTGGAGTTTTTTTTAATAAATGTTTAGGACTTTTGCAGGATACCTGCTGTGAGAGAGTGTCAAAAGAGCAGAGAGGGCTTCACGACACGTGAGAAAATTAATTTGATTAAATTGCCACAGAAACGCACAGCGGGTCAGAAGTACTGGAGTATGGTGGGGTGGTGTAGGCGTTATCACCAAATCAGATGCTGTTTTGTTGTTGCTAGCCGGCTACTTATCGCGGACACTCAACAACCACCCGAGTGGTATACTCATGCACTGCGAGAAAATCAAATAATAAGCGAAGAGTAACACAGTGAGATTTATGGGTAAACACACAAAAAACTTTAAAAGTATTAAAACTCAATCTAATGCAAAAATGTCGTTCTATTAATTTCATTTCCGAGTTAATAGGTACTTTTTTCTCCTAGTGTATAATTTTCACAGTACGTGTGTGTGGATGTGGGGCAGGAGTTTGTTTCCCTGTATGCGGGTTGTCGGTGAATGCACTAAATGATGTGCATAAGTGCGAAAACGTTTAACCCTCTGCTCGAAGGACTCTTTCCAGTTTCTCGCTACCCTCACATCCTCCCCGCTGCTGTCTCTCTCTCTTTCTCTGTCTCTGTCTCTGCCTCTGTCTCTCTGTTGCTGTCTCTTAAGTTCTCTGTTTGGGTTTTGATTGACGCTGATAGGGCACGTGTTGGCAATTATTTTAGAATAAATATATAATAATACAAAAAGTCTTCAGCATGGGACAAAATCAGTAGAGACTTCTTTGGTGTGTCCTTTCTGTGCTCTTTTACTTCTTGGGCACGGCCGAGGCATGATTTCTAAAGAGCAGAAAGTCGAGATATGATTGCGTAAGAGCACGAGATGACAATATGATTGCTGAAGAACAACTGATGGTAAAACTGATTGTACACTTCAAAATATGCAAATTACACACTAACTATAATTTACGAGATTTTTAAATACTTTGACGAGGAAAAAAAAATATATTTATGTACATATGTATATCTAAAATATTTATTAATACAATAAATAAGTAACTAAAACACTTTATTCTTTATATGCCATTTAAAAGGGGATTCTTAAATTCAACATTTAGTTTAACATTTGAATTATGAACAGTGGAAGCAATCATTTAATTAGATTTATTGAAAAAT